ACTGGTCAATACAATGAGTGATCTGTGTAACGGAGAATGAAAATCATATCTATATTTGGACGTTTCCTCCTGTTGATTATTCCCCGTCTCACTATGATCGCATGACGGGGATTTATTAGTTATCTCCCCGACTTTTTATTGTTATTTGCCGAACACTTTAAAAATGTAAATGAATGTGATAGAAATGATTAATAACACGAGTCCCTGTCATGTCGTCATATGGAACGGTGAATAAAATAGTATTTATTACATTCGGGATTATTATATTCGGGATTATTACATTCGGGATTATTATATTCGGGATTATTACATTCGGGATTATTATATTCGGGATTATTACATTCGGGATTATTACATTCGGGATTATTACATTCGAGATTATTATATTCGGGATTATTACATTCGGGATTATTACATTCAGGATTATTACATTCGGGATAATTTTTTTTCGCAATTGTGGTTCTTCAGGATTATGATTATTCGAGATTTGGTTTCGAATTAATGAATTGTCGAAATAATGCTTTTTCGAGATTTTGAGCTTCGGGATATAGTACCATCGGGATTTAGATCTTCGGGATTTGTAACGATTCCCGTATTTAGGGAGGTTTCTCTGTCAAGGGTGTGTACTTTATGAATGCAGAAAATATACAGTATACAGAGAAATCTCCCTAAATGCACTCTGGTCGGACCAAACCCTCGGTAACGTGCATTTAAGAAAAAAAACAATATTTAGAGAAATTAAGTAGATACAGAGAAACTACCCTAAATACACCCTTCATAAATGCAATATCTTCATAGTCCAAAATGCAAATTTTCCTAAATGCACGTTGCCATGGGTTTGGTCCGAACTAGTGATGCCGACAAAACTCCTAATAAAAATATAAACTAACCAAATGATAGGTTTATACTGTTTATATTTTTAACACTTCGACTAAACCGTAAAATATAAATTGATAAAACTCCTGATAAACCTTTATATGCTTGCGATCTCAAAAGATATACCACATCCAACCCAAGCTTTTAATACAGCACGATCGAGTGATGATTTATTTATAGAAAGTGATTCTGAATTATTTGTATTAACAAAAAAATCTATTGATTTGCAACGTTTTATATTTGAAATTCTTCAATTTTATTCTGCAAATATTTTTGTACATCTTGTGAACAACTGGAACATTCATTAGTTAAATGTGTGATTTGGTATTCCTTTTATCCAATGCTTAGAACAATAGTCGCATTCAAATAGAATAGTAGTTCCCATTTTTTTGTTCGACGGTATAAGCATTCCATATTTCTCTTTAAGGTCGGCCTCCAGAATTATATTCTTTATTAATTGAACAGTCGTTAACAGCAATTAAATTATAAATAGTTATTGCATGCGAAGCATGCAATAACTGTAGTATTTTATGGTCGATCCTAATTGGTTGGTGATCCCAGC